TTGAACTTTGACCTTGACCTTTCACCTTGACCTTGGGTCAAATGGAAAAGTAAGGACATGCATTCAGCTCCAGTATCAGGTAAAATCATAGAAAAGTAAAGATTTCTCTCTCTTTTTTTTTTTAATGACCTTGACCTTTGACCTTGACCCAAAGTCACAATCAGGCTTAAGGATGTGGAAGTAGTTAGAATTCTTAGTTTAAAAGAGGATAAAATAAATAATTAACCCCCCCTTCTTAAAAAAAAAAAAAAATCACATCAACAACAACGTAGAATATTTCTGTCAAATTCAAACCAGACCTCGGATCGACACCATATTTGGTACAATTGTAGTATAGACCTCAGAGAAAGTTTCTGGAGAGTTTTACGGTGAGTCCTATAAGTTTATAGAAGTCTTGAAGTTTCACGGCAAAAACTACAAGTTCTGTTGTGTTTGTAATTAAAGTGCAGGTGAACGAAGAAATGATCTAAACCTTTTATCGGCTATTTCTTCAGATGTCGTTAGCAGCATTCGATTCTCCTGATATGATACGACATTTTAATGCCAAGCATTCTCTCTTTCTTTCACATTTGGAATTTATTTGTTTTTTATTTAGAATTAATCAGTTTCCAGACATAGCGATTTTCGGCAGATTAAAAACAATTCTCGCTTTCATTGTCGTCTTTCCCTTCTAAAAATGCATGTTGGGAGTTTAATTTGTGATACACATATTTAATTTAACCCAAAGAAATGCTTATTTAAATGTTTCATAGTTATTTCAGGATATTCAGTCAGAAATGTTAAAATCCGAACCCGATCTTTTAAGCTTACAACAAAGCTATTTACAAAAAATTCAGCATGCTCACAATATCGATGAATCGGGCTACAGTCCATTAATACATTTTCATTAGGGAACAGTGTTAATGTTTTCTTACGCAGCCCGTCCCTTATTATTTAATATACTGCTTGTAAATTCAGGAACTATTTCCTTTTACGGAACTTCTTTCTTCCCCTACCGATTTTCCTCTATAGTCTTAAACAATCAACATACCAGTCTTAACGGAATGCGTAGTTAGCGCACATGCCTTTCAAACCAAGGGTGCCGGGTTCGATCCCTGCTGGAGGAGCAATTTTTTTTTTTTTTTTTTTTTTTTTTTTTTTGCATTTTTCTTCTTTTTTTCAACCCAAATGACACGGAAACACTTAAAAAGGTGGAAAGGCCTATAATTGTTCTCTGAACAATTAGTTTACTAGTTTTAGATTTTTTTTTTTTGGTAGAAAGGGGGGGGGGTGTCAGAAATTTATTTATGTTTTCATTGTTAATAAAATACAGCTCGACTGATTTAATATTAATTTTACTGCTACCAGGTTCAATCTAAATGTATCTTAGTCTAGAGATATGATAAACCGTTAACTTTAAATATGATTCAGACAATTTGTATTTCTATGCAACCCCCTACCCCACCCCCCACAAAAAGTATAATTTTGACTGGTCGATAGGAATCAAACAAAACATTTTTATTATTGGCCTTAACATTTTTTTAAATTTTTTTTTATTAGGTAAAGACCTTTCCCTTAAAGAAAATTCTTGCTTCAGCAACATTATCAACTTACATCACATCATTCAATATAAACTTGATACACCTGTACTTTGTTGTTGCCAAGCCTATTTTTTATCTGACTTTCAACTTCCAGTTTTGTACAATCATGTAAATGTAGCTAGACTTCAATTATCTAGGTAAAATCAAAAGTCTACTTTTTTAACATTATAATTCAGTTTATTTTTCCACATCCGTTTTTAAAAAGAACCAGTAGCTTTCCTGGCTGTTATTCATTGTAATATATCACGTACTCTGATTGAGACACTGTACCTCTTCTTACAACCAATTCAATATAATTCTGATATCTTAAGTTTATCTTTTATCCCCATTTTGAAACTCCTATGACCTTGAGGATTAGGCTTTAATATCATGAATGTGCACAGAGCTGATTTCTTGTAACGTGGTCTTTTACATTTCCCCATTATTCACACATAAAAATTAGTCTTTTGCATCCAGGAAATAAACAAAGAGGTTAAAATTTGTATGCACATTAAATAAACAGAAAAAAAAACACTTGATTTCACTTGAAATCCAGGATATATGTTGACAATGTAAATAACCTCCAGTCAGTTTTGTCCAATGATTTTTTTATCTCTCACACTAAAGAGCTAACAATTATCAAAGGGAGATAATTCAATTTTTAAATGAATGTCTGCTATTTTAATCATAGATTTCTCATATTTATAGACTGAATACCAACAATGTTTTTAAATGACTTTTAAAATCAGATGTCATACTTTTTATTTCTGTGAGTAACATGAATTGAAGTAGCCGCATTTCATTGAATAACATTCCCAAATATTGCATTTTTTCAGAAAAAATCAACTTTAGACACCGTTTCCATGGTAACTACTCAACATTCATATGATCTAACAATATTTTTTGGAGTAGTTTATGAGGTGGTAAATTCTAGCCAAATTTGAAAAAAGTCTGTGACTATGCGTGCCACAAAAGTTTAAGTGGTTACAGAGAATGGCTATTAATAAATTTACGTACGGACGGACTAAGTGAGAGAGAATATAAGAGAAATAATTTATCAAGAAAATAATTAAAACCATCAGAAGTTTGTTTTACCAGGGCTTTGTAAGTAGGCAGTTCATTGAAAACCAGTAGATGACGCAAACACTGTAAATAACAGTTTTTTTCTTTAGCCAATCTGTTTGATGATATTTATAACATTCGGCATCAAAGTTTGCTTCCATTTTTTAACATTTTAGATAGGATACTTCTGCCTCTTTAAAATTTATCTAAAAACTACAGTTAGTTATCAATAACGATATATGCCAGTTATAAGTATTTTTTTTATTTTGAAGAAAGATAACTCTTGCAATTGTTACCTATTAAAATTCTGGCATATTGTTGGAAGACTTGATCTCCAAAAATTACATAGATATTGTCAATCAGAAACTTAAGCATCTTTTATGGTCATAAACGGAATAATAAATTCGCGTTCACGATTTAGCAAATTTGTCTCTTGTTAATTTTATTAAAAAAATTCCAAAATTTGTAATAACGAATTAAATCCGTTTAAACGATTTTTTTTTTTTTTAAAAAAAAATTTGTTTTGACGAATTTGACGCTTCGTTATATCGAATTCGTAATAATTCAATCTTTTCTATAGACCCGATTAAACGAATTCAATTCCATAAGAGGTTTAGAATTCGTTTAACATGTTTAAATCTGTTTTAACATTTTTTTAAAAATAAGTTATAGCTAAATCAACAAAGTTGCTTTGACTAATTACATTCGTAAAAGCGAAAAATGTTAGAACAATTTAATTTTTTAAAACAAATTCGACAATCTGTTATATGGACTTCAACAATATTTTCATATATGTCCTAAATGGACTTTCGTATGATTATGATCAATGTAGAGAAAATACTATTTAAAGGCGCAATCAGCGTGCCATATTAAAGACATTCAAAGCGCAAGTAGAATAACAATCTGTTGTGTATTCACTCGAATAAATGAGATTTATAACACAGCTCCATGCGGTTACAAACTATTTATTACGGAAGTACATGAATAACATTTAAAACCAAAAGGTACAAGTCTACAGAATTCCGGAATACTACATTCCTCCCCCTTTAAATGTGATGGACACATAGTTCATACTTCAATGATTAATAAAAAAAATCAAATTTTGACTAGTAGAAGGAATATCAATATTAATGGACATCTGCATATTGACTTAATACATTCATGACTAGACTTTGACTAGACTTGTGAACAATCTAAATTCACATTTCAAGAAGAATGAAAAAAAAGGTGAACATTTTTTTTGCACTACTTGGTTACATGTACATAAAAAATCATAAAACATTACAGCTTCTAATAATCAAACACTGCATGCATATAAAAAAAATTGTCAGTCTATTATTACTACTGGTAACGTTTTGGCAGAACATTTCGAGTGGTGCGGGTTGGATAGCGTTTTTCGGACACGGAAGTTGCTGCAGGTGCATGTGTCGGTATAGGGGTCAGTTCTGGTGATTGTTTCTTGGTAGGGTCTGATGTTTCGACCGCCAATGTATCATCATGTATCAATGTATCTGCAGAGTTGGTGAAATCTGCAGATCTTATCTGGTCTGTATGACGCCGCCATGTTGTCCCTGGTGTAATTTCCACTTTGTACGAAAGAGGTCCTGTTTTTGAGTCTATTTTCCCTGACACCCATTTCTCATTATTGCTGCGATAGTCACGCACAGCAACCTTGTCACCGGTATTGAACTGTCGAACGGGTTCGGATGTGCGGTAATGCATGCTCTCTTGTTTAGCTTCCACTGTGTTGCGAACATTCGGCTTCAGTCGTGTGAGTCTTGTACATAGTTCACGTCCTAAGAAAAGCTTAGCCGGTGTTTCCCCTGTTGTTGAATGCGGCGAACTTCTGTATGTGAGTAGGAAGTTGGCAAGACGCTTAGTGATGGAAGTTTCTTCCACTTTCGAAGCACGCATTGACTGTTTCAGCGTCTGGACTAGTCTCTCTGCTAGCCCATTTGTTCTCGGATGATACGGAGCTGACGTAGTATGACGAATTCCGTTGTACTTCATGAAGTCTTGGAAGGTTTCTGAGACAAACTGCGGTCCGTTGTCCGAGACTAGTTGATCTGGTAGACCGTTCCTTGAAAATATCCTACGCAGTACATCCACTGTGCGGTCTGCAGTTGTTGTTGACATCTGGACAACTTCGGGCCATTTTGAGAATGCATCGACTACGACGAGAAACATGTTTCCTTGGAACGGGCCAGCGAAGTCTACGTGTATCCTTTGCCATGCACGTTGGGGCCATTCCCACGGATGAACAGGTGCTTCTGGTGGCATGGGTCGGTTCTCCTGGCAACCCTTGCAGCGTTTCACCAGTGTTTCTAAGTCTTTGTCGATGCCTGGCCACCATACCAAACTTCGAGCCACAGTTTTCATCTAGACAATCCCCGGGTGTCCTTCATGAAGTTCCTCTAGGACACGCGAACGAAGGTCCTGGGGAATGATAACACGAATTCCCCATAGTAAGCATCCCTGATAAATTGAGATCTCATTTCTGCGAGAAAAGTATGCTTTCAGTTCTTCACTTAGGTCATTTGCAGATGCTGGCCATCCTGAAGCTGTCATGTCATATACCACTTTCAGAGTGGTGTCTTTTACAGTTCCTCTCTGAACTTCTTTACTACTAACAGGTAGGCTTTCAAGTTGCTGAATCATATACAGTTCAGTTACATCATAAGCCTCTTCATTGGATCCTTCGCCTTCTGTTGGAACAGGAAGTCTTGATAAGGCATCAGCGTTGCTGTGTTTCTTTGTGTTTTTGTATCGAATATCGTATTGGAATCCAGATAGAAAAATCGCATATCTCTGTAGTCTAGCTGCTGTAGTCACAGGTAGTCCTTTCTCGGGATGAAAAATAGATACTAGAGGTTGATGATCAGTCACTAAGGTGAACTTTCTCCCATACAAGTATGCGTGAAATTTCTTCACCCCCCACACTAATCCTAGCGCTTCCTTATCAATTTGTGCATACTTCCTCTCTGTTTGACTAAGTGATCTAGATGCAAAAGCAATCGGCTTTTCAGAACCATCCGGCATCACGTGAGACAGCACAGCTCCCAGTCCATAGGGAGAAGCATCTGTTGCCAGTGTTACAGGCTTCTGGGGATCATAGTGCACGAGCACTTGGTCTGACGTCACAAGTTCCTTGATCTTCTCAAATGCTGCTCTGCATGATTTTGACCATACAAATTTGGAATTATCCTTCAGAAGGTCATATAAGGGCGCTGAGTGAGTAGACAAGTTCTCCATGAATCGTCCATAGTAGTTTACGAGTCCTAAGAAAGCTCTGAGTTCAGACACATTCTTTGGTTCTGGAGCATTAAGCACAGCTTCGATTTTCTTTGATGTTTTGTGGAGTCCTTCTGCATCTATCACATGGCCACAAAATTCAATTTTGTCTTTTAGGAACTCACTCTTGTCAACATTTGCTTTTAACCCGTAACGGTCAAGTCGCTTCAAGACTTGTTCTAAGTTTTTCAGGTGTTCTTCAGGTGTTCTCCCAGTAATGATCATATCATCCATGTTGCAGTGTACTCCCTCAAGTCCTTGAAGAACTGTGTCCATGGCTCTCTGCCATATCGCTGGTGCCGAGGCTATTCCGAACACAAGCCTGTTGTACTGAAATAGACCACGGTGAGTATTTATCGTGAGATAATGTCTGTCCTCTTCTCTCACCATCATTTGAAGGTAAGCATTCTTCAAGTCCAGTTTTGTAAACTGTCGACCTCCCGCCAGGCTTGCAAATATGTCTTCGATCTTGGGTAGAGGATACTGGTCTATGTCCAAGACGGGATTCACTGTGACCTTGAAGTCACCGCAAATTCTCACAGTTCCATCCTTTTTTGGTATTGAAACAATGGGAGTAGCCCATTCACTGTGTTCTACCTTACTGAGAATTCCAGTCTTGATAAGATGGTCCAGTTCCTGATCAACTTTGGAGCGTAACGAATACGGTACCACACGAGCTTTGCAAAACTTGGGCGTCGCCGACTCCTCTACTTTTATTCTGGCTGATATGTCCCTTAGCCTGCCCAGGTCATCAGTGAACACGTTTTTGTACTTCTCAATCACTTCGCTTACGCCTTGTTTTCTAGTTTCTAATGTCTTGATTTCTGCCCAGTTTAGTCTGAGGTTCTTTAGCCACTCTCGACCAAATAAAGGTGGTCCCCCTTTGTCGACCACATACAAGTTTAACTGCTGTTGCTGATCATCCATCTCTACGTTGACTGAACATACACCTAGTGGGGTGATATTTTCTCCTGAGTATGTTCTTAGGTTTATGTCGGTGTCTATCAACTTTACATTGGAAAAATTTTGCTGATAAGTTTTCCGGTTGATTACTGAAATCGCTGATCCTGTGTCCAGTTCCATGGGAAATTCTTGACCATTCACGTGGGGCTTTATCCATATTGCATCCTTTAGTCCTCCCATAGCATAGCATAGTGAAAACATTGGTTCGAAATCATCCGATACTTCCACTTCATGAACATGTTTACTGTATGTATGTAGTGGTTTCATGGTGGCTGGTTTGGAACGGCATGCTCGTTGTATATGCCCCTTTTTCCCACACTGTCGACATGTTTCATGGATAAATTTGCAGTCATCTGAGGTATGGTTTCCGTTACATCTGTAGCACCTCTGGGCTACCGTAGTTTGTTTTTGTTGAATTCTTTTCTTACCCTTGGGTACACTTAGTTTGTTGACACCGGACGTGATGGAAAGGTGTTTCCTTTGAATCTCCAGGGCGTCATTAGTCGCCGTCTCCATCGCAATGGCTATCTCGAGCGCAGTTTGGTAAGTGAGGTTTTTCTCCGAGAGAAGTTTCTTTTGAATATGTTCATTTTTCAATCCACAAACAAATCTGTCCCGTAGTGTGTCATTAAGGACGTCTTTAAATTCACAGAATTCACTCAGTTTACGAAGAGCTGCAATGTACTCACGGACGCTCTCACCCTCCTGCTGGTCCCGCTTGTGAAATCTAAACCTTTCTACTATAACCAACGGTTTTGGAGAATAGTGGTCCTTCAGTGCTTTCGTAAGTTGCTTGTACGTCCTAGCCTTGGGTAATTCAGGCGCTGTTAAGTCTCTTAACAATGCGTATGTTTTGGGGCCCACGAGGCTCAGTAGCGCGGGAACTTTTTTGTTGTCGTCCACTGCGTTTGCTGTGAAGAAATTGTCCAGCCTTTCTTCGTAGGTTGTCCATGTTTCGATTGCCGGATCGAACACATCGACTCTTCCTATACGTCCAGTGGCCATCCTCGTCGCCAGATATGTTGTGTATTCACTCGAATAAATGAGATTTATAACACAGCTCCATGCGGTTACAAACTATTTATTACGGAAGTACATGAATAACATTTAAAACCAAAAGGTACAAGTCTACAGAATTCCGGAATACTACACAATCCCTCATGGCTTCCTCAAATTCAACCGGAGAACAGCAAGGAAGAACCGATGATGACGCTTTTAAATGCCCATTATGTTTTGAAATTTTTACGGAACCTAAAATATTGGATTGTCTACATACGTTTTGCAAGGAATGTGTAGTACAGCTTCTCGTGCACTGTGAAAATGACCAAAACACATATTTTTGTCCTTTATGTCTAAATGAAAACGTGATACCTAAGAATGGTATCGATGACATCAAACGCAACTTTCACGTGGAAACGTTACTTCGAGAAGAAGAAGTTGTCTGTGAAATATGTGACAAGAAGAACATGGCTACAAAGCGTTGTTTTGATTGCGACCAGTATCTTTGTATTGTTTGTTTTAATATACACCAAAGGCTAAGTGGAACTCGGTCCCATAGAAGCGTCGATTTAGGTCAAGAGAACCCAGGAATTCAAGCTCAGGTTTTTTTCTGCTCTAAACATAGAGGAGAAGAGCTTAAGTTTTTCTGTTGTTGTTGTAAGTTAAATATACGTCGCGATTGTAAAATAACGGGACACGAAGGTCATAAAACTAAAGACCTTTTACCATTGTTGAAAAGTCAAAAGGAGTCCTTAAACTTGTCCTAACGGATTTGATAAACAGAAAAGATTCACTTGTTGTTGAAAAAGAAAATCTGAAAATATCAGAAGAACGTTTAAGCCTAGATAAAGACGAAATAATTAAATGCGTACAAAGAAAAGCAAATGATATTGTAACAAGAATCAAAACAGTAGAAGGTGAATTTATCAAAGAGATTTTTACCATATTTGCGAAGAGAACATCTGATATGAAAAAGGAACAAGCGCTTTGTTGTAAATCAATTGTTTCTGCAAACAGTCATATAACCCATATTCAACAAGTTCTAAAGCATGGCCTTCTATCAGATATCACCCAAGCTTCGATCGCCTTGGAGAAATTTAAGATTGGTTCCCACTCATCACGGGACAGATATTCTGAGACTGATATAGTGCCTGTGTTTGTTCCATCAACATGTAATTCAGAAAAATGGAACATTGGAAGTCTCTTTTATTTTACTGTTTGTAAAACGTCACAGTTCTTTTGCGACTGTCCACCAAATCATGTTATTTCAAATGTATGTCCATCCGCTAATGCAAGTGAAGCATGGATAATACTTCGACATTTGCAAGGAACATCAATGCTTGACTTTCAAGTTAAAGGTTATTTGTACACTGAAGAAGGCTGTGTTATGAAGGTAACCAGAGAATTTATCAGCCACATTATACAAAGATCGAATGGTAAAGAAATGCGATTTAGAAATGTTCAGAGTCGAGCAATCTTGTCAGATAAAGAGGACAAAAAAGAAAAAAAGTTGAAGTCGAGAACAAAAAATTTTCGAAATAAAAGGTCTACAGTCTGTAACAATTGATAAAAATGATAAAATTGTTGGGCTATTACAACAAAATCGTTTTGGTACCATTACAGAAGATGGTCGGTTGAGTAATGTAAAGACTCTTCAGTCCATAGTATCTGGCAATTGTATAGTGATTAACAAGGACCATCTGTACTGCTCTGACAGGGCTGGCCATTGCATTGCTTGTTTTACGAGGAAGGGTGACATTCTTCAGTCTTTTGTTCCACAGAAATCTTCATTGAGACATTTTGACCCAATTTCGGTTTGTTGTGATAAAAATGGGAATATCTTTGCTTGTGATTACGAAAATGACACTGTTTATGTGATAGTGAACTCAACATTAATGCCCGTTATAAAGAACATTCACAGACCTACAGCATTAGCTGCTGACAACTTGAACAGACTCTGGATTGCGAAGCAAGATGGGGAAGTTTTGATTTATGATGTAAAACAAAGACAACAAATATAGAAATGTTAATATCTACATGTATGACTACGTTTGATACAAATAAGTAATGAATACTTAAGAAGACACTTGCTTTTTATATATAACTAAAAATAAAGCTGAAAAATTCGAAGTTAAATACTTTCATTACTTTTAAAGACATAAGAGTTTCAGTCTAAAAATTGAAGGACTACTATTCCGGACAAACAGTTCGACTCTTATGAAAAATATGGTCGGATTTCAGCTTCCATGATCTCTCATGGTCTTGCTACCATTTCTGAGTCTTCTGCAAAATTCTGGGTCATCTGCAATTGATAATCAAATGCGCTCTAGTGGTTGGTAAGATGTCGGAAGATTTTTAACAGCCCAGTCTACATACAGATTTACTTCCTCCTGTACATAGTCCGAATCCTTATTCCGAAGGCCCTTAGACCAGACATTTCATGTGGAAACACCACAGAATGGTACTGGATCCCCCCCCCCCCAAATTCTGTGAAAACTCAACTTAAAGCAATTTAAAGCAAATCTAGTGACTATTTGGCAAACTACTAGAAGGAAAAATATCAATTATGAAAACTATGACAGCATTACACCCTTCATTGCATCTTTTGTTTCCTTTTGTTCAGTAGCGATACATTCTTTCCAAAATGTATAGTTAACTTGTTCACAAAAATTAGGTTAAAAACTTTACTGAGCTGCATATTTCATGTGTTTGCACAACCCTCAAAGCTTACATTTTTAAAGCAGTTGAAATTTATTATCTTCTTTTATGTTTAATGAAAGGAAAAGTTGATACATTTACAAAGGAATCGACAGTTTATCTCAATTTTTATGGGCGAAATATTTTTTTAGAAATCAAAAGGAATAAACAATAAGGAAATCACAAAGCTCTTTGTGATCTAATACCCGAATATTGATGGAGAGAGAGAGAGAGAGAGGGAGAGAGAGAGAGAGGACATGGATATATACATGTATTGGCATGGAATTAAACTTTTCCATATTAACTTAAAAATGAATTAAGTTTCCGAACGTATTTTTGTTTTATTTTTATTTTTCTGTTTTATTTAAAAGAGTCAGTTTCGATTTATTTTCGCTAAAACTAGAAGAAAAGTAAAAATAGATAAAAATAAAGCTTTTATAAACAAGAGATAAATAATACAATTATCTATCAGCTCAAATATGAAACAAAAAATTGAAGTGTGCGAAACAATTTCATTTAAGCAAAATATATTTGTTACATATCTTTGTTACATATCTTTCTGCGCAAGAAGAGGTGAGTTGTTACTGTACTGACAACATACTTTGATTAAAATCCAAATACCAGTACAATTTCTTAATTCATTATTGTCACATTTAAGTAAGAAAAAAGCAATATCATTTTCTTTCAACCTATTATTTTAGCGGTATTTTTTTTTTAATGTTAACACTCGGCCTTTTATTAACAAATGAAAATTTTACAAACATGACGGAAAACAATTAGAAAATTAGAGCGTAGTTCACTTATATTGCAGAAATATTGTAGACCATGGGTTACGAGACAGACTGCTTACGAATAGTCAGTATAAACGCTGCTGGTAGGAACGGAAGGAAGTTTGTCTTCCAGCATCTGATTGAGCAAGAGAAGCCTGAGATAGTATTTCTTCCGGGGGACAACTCAGGACTTGACACCTTAGCGCAAACCAGATATCAATATTTGTTAGACCCCGCCTTCAAAGAACCAGTTTTCCTGTATGATTCCACACGCCTGAAGGTCAACCAACTCCCGGTGAGACCACAGTCCTCCCGTCATGTATGTGACTTTGATAAAGTTCTAGCGCCTCTTATAGACATCAACTCGCCAGCTCCAGCACAAAACATTGTCAAGCAGTTTATCTGCGTAAACTGGCACTGGAAATTGTCTGAGAATGGAGGATCACAAGTGCTGTATGAAAATAGAAGAATGTATATGATGTTTGTGCAGAATCTTGCCTATTTTACCGGAAAAGAGGTTTTGATTGGTGGCGACTTTAATTTACCAGAGTCAAAAATTAAGGAACTGATCGAAGAACACAACAGTTTGATCCAGCATGGCATCGACAGCATAAAGCCACAATTTCAGAAGTTTGGCTACATGTTTTGTATGACCGAAGAAATCCTTAGATCTGAACGAAGACTTCTTCAACTAAAATTACACAAGACCAACAATTCAATTTCAACAGAAACAAATTACTTTGTTGCCTCCAAAGAAATGCAACTTTTTGAGACCAGACATGAAAAGATTGAAAATATATCATATCGTTATACCAGGTTACAATTACATGCAAGAGTGGAGACTGATTACCATCCAGAACCGACTTACACCAAGACCCATATATATATCCCACAAAGGCCTCCAAAACACCACGGGGGATAGATAAAATTCAAGGATGAACTATCAAACGTGATCTTTGAAATTTATTTATGTTTTTTTGGTAGAATCAATATTGTTAGTGTGTGTTGTAAAAAGTTGAAGTCATCTCGTTTATCATACAGATTAGTTGTAAATTGGCCTTTATCGTTTAAAAACAATAAAACATTCAAATATCAAATAGATCTGGCGTATGCCTGGTGTCTTTTATTTCAAGTTCACTGAGATATATAGAGTCGTCATATGAATTGAAATATCTATTTCTAATTGATAAAATGTGTCTATATATCTGAATGTCGAGTTGAAGACAACAACAATTCTTTTCTTTCACGTAAAAGATTTTGAATAATTGAATAATTTTGAATAAATTCTGCTTCATACGAATATAAAAGCAGGAGAAAAAGCAAGGCGTTATGTCAGACCATTTTCTGCAGCTGGCCATTTAGAACGAGTTACTGAGTTAATGGAGCTACCCCAACATATTTTTTCTTGATATATGTATTAATATTGATGCACAAATAGAAACAACACAAATTCAAATTAAAGGTGTTATCTTTAGGATCTTGACAACAGAGCCTCCTGTAACTGTCCTGAATATTTGAAAAATTTAAGAATTTAACATATAGTCCAATAATGTAACTGTGTAGCTTTGCAAAACAAATATTATTGTATTTTAGTACAACACGAACACCGTTCCTCGAAATAAAAAAAAAATTAGGTCCATAGAATTTTTATATCTCAATCAATTGATGCTGTCTAGTTGTATAATAACGATTAATGTCATCGAACTAGAAACATAGTTTTTTGGAAAAAAAATGTTTATGGACAATCCGTCAGACAGACGAACGATGAACAGCATACCAAAGCTTTACAAATATTAATTGTTTCAATAGAAAAGAAAGAAAAAAAGAAAAACAGTAAAATTATTAATTGACGCCCTTCACTTAATCAATCACATCATATATTTCCTCATTGCTACTATTTGGGTTGGTATTACATCTTGTATATTTTTTTTAAAACAGTGTTGATGATGCTATTTACTTGACTGCACAGTCAAAAAAAGATATCACTTATCATTTATCACTGAAATATGAATATAACGAATAGTATTCAATCTCGAAAATCCAATGAAACGATACAAATTTGAAGTAGAGCAAACACGGACCTCAAACTTAAGAGTTGGGATCAGGTGCCATGGAAGAGTGAGCATCCCCAGCCGACCGGTCACACCCACCGTGTGCTCCTTGTCATGATCGGGTAATAACGGAGAAATCCTAGACAGTACAGTTTTTTAAATAATGGCCTAACAATTAGTATGAAAAACGTCAGTCAGCATTTGACTCAATGATAGGTTGTATGTGCTGACAGGTCATAGTATCGACCGTAAAACTTGCCAAAAGATGACTTCAAACGAGACTGATGATACTCTTGTTTCATCAACTAGTTTGTCAATAACTTGCCTCGTTTTATAAATTCTTCATACGTAGAGCATGCTCTTGCGTATCGAATCAACTGAGAGACATAAAACCCATATGCAGGTAATAAGGATATTGTTACATAAGTAAGGGAAGTTGACGATTGAAAAGTTGAAGTCATCACGTTTATCACAAAGCTTTGTCGTTAGGTTACCATTAATGTCTTTGTCTAGTAAAATATCCAAATATGAAACATATGTGTCAGAATCTGTGATATCTTTTATTTCAAGCTCACTGGGATATATCGAGTCGACATATGAATGAAAGTAACTATTGTTAATTGATAATACGTCGTCGATATAAAACTAATAAACAATAAAATAATAAAATAGTTAGAACAGGAATTAATGATTGCAATTGTTACAGAAAAAAATTTACATAACCCTCTGTTGCAATGTTCGTAGATGTTTGTAATAGTGAATGGAGGTTCATCAAAATGTTTTAATTTAAAAAAAAATGTTAACTGATTTAAGAACAGCAATACAAATGATTCTCATCGAAAAGAATTGTTTTACAAGGAGACACAAAAAAATATTTTGAAGCATTTAACTATAGTGAATTGTAGTGAAAATAATCTGGTTATACATGTCTTCAGGTGTTACTAATAATGCTGTAAACCAACTTTTGTTTGTGAAGACTTTTATTCGTCAGTTGCCATCCATTAGCGGCTATCAACTTTCGCAACACATTCTATATGAATAATATATATTAATGATTCGCAGAGATAAATATTGGCAATTAAAAGAAGGTGGCAAAACTGACAGATATATTTTCATACATGCGAATAAAAGTTAAGCTACAGGATTGAAAAATGTGTTTATTTATTATTCAGTTTAATCAATTATACGAGGGAAATTATTAAGACATTGTGTATATTCTTCTTTCTAATGAACGTTTTTCATTGAAAATTTGCATATACATTTGACAAACACTAAGAATTAATAAAAGCAAGAAATATTTTACAAATATTTTATTTCTTCTTTTCAATGTGATATAAATGTATCAATGGTAGAGGTACCCGGCGCAGTCACGAAATCAGATATTGAAAATATGTAACATCAACGTTCAACCTATAGTAAGAGTGAAAATAATTCAATTTATGTACATATTTTTTCAATTTAATTCTGACTTCAATTCGTGCAAGTTTGATAGAATTTCGATCAGAAATACGGAGATCATAAAAAATTTAAGCGCGGTATAGAAATCTAATAACGACGACAAAATGGATTTTGACGTCAAGGCAGCGCAGTGAGCATACCTAAAATTTGGTGTGGCGCTATGAGGAACTCTTTTCCAGACTTAAGTACCTGCTTAAACAATAACAATGAGAAGTAAAAAAAAAAAAAAAAAAAAAAAAACATGTGTAAGGTTTTTTTTTTCATTGGTATATATTATTTCTTACAAGTAATTCAACCAGAGTAAAAACAAATACTCCAAACCACCATTAACAATTACGGACTATATAACGTTGACCCGCGTTGCATAAATCTGCACTGCATGATGCTAAGTCGACCCGTATATGACACTGCATGTATATTTTACACTGGGGTAGCAACATTGTACATTTTATTTATTTTTCTAAAGAATCGTTTGAGAATAGAGACAGTCTGATTTTGGGACTGTTCTATGTGATATCAGAGAAAGAAGAATAAAAGCTTCCCGATCGTTTCACACGAGGAAACATCTCCAGCTAACGTGACGGTAAAATGACGTAGCGATGCTGCTCCAGGTCGATAGACATACGCATGTTTATAATTTCACCGGAATTTATCTAATCATTCTATAAATTATAAATTTTGCATATTTGCATTATTTGTTCTTTATAAAATGTTGAGGAATTTTCATGAATTTAGCTCTGTTCTTTATGGAGTAAAGGTAAATGTCTCAATAATTTCCGAACAGCCCTCGTAGATCCAAATGACTGTAAAACCGATCATTAAAAAACTTTTTAAATCTTTTAATTTTATATAACTTAGGATTGTAACAATTTTCTAACTAAACAAAAATGCAGGATGATTAATATTTTGAAAGAAATGAATAAATTATTCTATTTAGTATTTCAGTAACCAAGGCTACAATGTGAATATTATCTATACATTGATGGAGAAAATGTAAAGATTCTTTAATGAGGCTTAATCTCACCCACCCATCCTACAAATTCCTTGAACTAAACAAGGTTTTAAATGATAAAACTTTCTGAGGTGTTGTTTTGTTGTTCTTTATTCTACATTTTATTAATCATGTCTTCCTGAGAGTATGTGGGTCTATATATTGATGCACCACCTCACACGTGAATACATTTTACATAGCTTGCTTTCAAATGACGTAGGTATGAGAATAAGGAAAATATGTCATAAACTACTTCAACTAACAAAATAGATAGGGCAATAAAGTAAATGGAGGAACAATAATAAAATTAAAAACGTGAGATTTTTTAGTACACAGCTAATGCTTATTTATTTATGCAATATGTACATAAAATACAAACTTCTCAATTCACATGTTCCTTAGTTTAATTTTGTTTCACAAGAAAAATAATAAAAGAACATTTGAATACATCGATATACATGTACTACAAAATCTGTCAATGGGTGAATTAAAAAAAAAATGACCAAACGCATATTTATCAACCCACACTAAAAATACAGGCAATAAAAATAGATTTCTATGTCTCAGCATATGTCTTTAGATAGTGTCTAAATACCTGCCAAATATCTCATTGATATCCCAATAACTCCTCCATGGCACCTGATCCCACCTCTGATGTTTAGAGGTCCGTGTTTGCTCTGCTCCTATTTTGTATTGTTTAATGGACTTTTGAGCTTGAATACTGTTCGTTATCTCCATATATTTCATCCCAATTAGAAAAAAAGTTATGCCCAAAAATGATGCTAAAATTGTCAGGAGTGCAACACCTTTTTGTGACATTTTGAAATTTCAGTATTTTTTGGAGATCTGTGAAATAAATAATAATGCTTTATGTTGAAAATAAACACTTTCCTGATAATATTCAAGGTATTGAGCTTTAAATGTGGACTGTAGTAACTTTTGTTTAATCAATTTGTGGTCATGGCTGATGTTTAAAAAAATGTTATACCATGTCAGGAGTGCAACAGAAAAAATGCGGTGTTGCCAAAAAAAACATCAATTGTAAAATTCTGAAAGAAAAATAAGACAAAAAAGAATTTTCGAAGTGTAAAACAATAACTGATATACATTTTTAAACTTAAAAATGTTAGATAAATGATAAGCAGCATTAATAAGAGTCAAGTATAGGTGCATATCCAATAATGTCAGGAGTGCAACATTTGATGTTTTGCTCCCAAGCATGAAAAAACTATTATCATTATATGATTTTCTGATTTTTATTTTGGAACATAAAGACACAAAGAACATTTTTACCATATAGATTTATCAATTACAGGGTCTGTCTGTGCTTCAGATCTATATTTCTATGGTCAGGAGTGCAACACATTTTATTAAAGATTCAAGTTGTGACGAAAACACTTCTATTCATGCTTAGAATGAAATATATGG